GGAGCCTGCGGGGAGGAGGAGGGGAGGGATCGCCTCTCCCCCGCCCTCTACCCCCGGGCCCCCTTCCTGACCCTCCCTTCCAAGGGCAGGCAGGCAAAGGCAGGCAGGCAGGCTGGCGGGGAGAGGCGCCGCCGGCCGAGGCGAGGCAAGAGTTAAAAAAAAAGAAAAGGAGGGGAGGGGAAGGGAGGGGAGGTGGGGCTGTCACGCGTCATTGGGCAGATTATGTGCGGCAAACAAAAACGGTGCGTCTGGGTGCCAGGCAGTCACTGCATCGGGTCCATCTGCACGGGGCTCCTCCGTGGCGCCCCGCTCTCCCGCGCCCTCCCCTCCGGCTCTTTTCCGCCCTCCTCGCCCGAGGAAGGAGCGCGCTCCCGGCATCGCCCCTCCACGGCCATGGAAAAGGCACCGATACAATAGACCGGGGCTGCCGCCTCCCCTCTGCTCTTCCGCGAGCCCCCCGCCCGCCCGCCCGCCCCCCCCAAAAAGGACCGGGGGCCTCAACTCGTCTGCGATTCCTCCCCTACACATTTTAATTTTTTTAATTTTTATTTTTTGCCTTCGCCACTTTTCTGCTGGGGATTATTCCTTTTTGTTTTTTGGGAGGGGGTGCCTTTGCTTTTGCAATCCCCTCCCCTTCTGCTTTTAGGATTATAATCCTGACCTTATTCCTGGTAAGTAAAAAAAAAATATGCACGCGTCCGATCGGAGCGGAAGAATTGTTTCAGGATTATTTCTGCCTCTCCCCCCCCCCGCCGCCGCCGCCGCGCACTCACACACACACACCTTCCCGCGACCCCCCCCTCCAAGCACCTCTGGAGCCGGTTTTCAGGCACCCGAAAAGAGAAAGCGGAGAAAAGGGGGGGTGGAAACGTTGCCACGCCGAGCGGGTCGGTACAAAGAGGAAAGAACATCGAATTTGTGTTTAATACATGTATCCAGAGAGAGAGAGAGGGATGCGCGGTGAACAAAATATAGGGGTGAAAGAGGCGGACAATAACTGCAGAAGGGAAAGAGAGGGAGCATCTGGTTCGGGCCCCCCCACTCTTTTAAAAAAGAGAGATTTTGCTGAGAACGCAAGGAAGGCACAGAAAAAGAATTACTGGGTGCTGCTGATGTGATTTTGGAGGTTGTGAGATTTCAGGAAGTAAGCAAGAAAGAGGAAGAGCAGAATGTGCTCTTTCTTTCTTTCTTTCTTTCTTTCTTTCTACTTTGAGTCTTGCTCGCTGCTTTCCTTTCCTCGAGGGGTGACTTGCCGGTATTGTTGAAGTGGCATTTTTATTATTTTGTCCTCCCTCTTGCCGGCGATGAACACGACGACCTCCGACACCATTCTTTTAAAAGGAACTTGGTCGACAGGACACTGGGGTGTGTGTGTGTTGGGGGGAGGTCTTTTCAGGGGAATTTGTTAGAATTCGCAAACACACATACACATACGCACGCACACAAATCTCATCCAGAGAGAAGGGACTAAAATGTGCCCCTCTCTTTCCCAGCCCGCCGCCTTGATTCCGGAAAGCAGGAATGCCACCCAGAAACGGTGACCCTTCAAGCCGGCTGAATTAATAGATGAACTTGGTACAGGAAGCAACTAACCCCCACCCACCCACCTACCCCCACCCACCTGCTCTGGAAGCCGTGGGGAGACGGGCTGCGTGTCCGTCGGTGGAGATATAAAAGTTTCCTTGGAGCCGAGATGTGGCCTGTTGGGTGTGGTTTTATTTTATTATAAAATTAGCATTCCAGCTAATTATTCTTCTATTAATGGTGAATAACGGGAGGGCACGGGGGAGCGCCCTCGGAATATTCCTGTTATTATTTTTAAATCATCGCCGGTTTTTTAGTAGATTCTTAGGAACGCGCTCTTTCCTCTTTTTCTCTCTCTTTTCTCCTCGTTCCGCAAAGGAATAATTTTGTCGGCCGCTCACACAGTGTCTTATTGATTGTGGAGGGCCGGACGAAGCCATTAGCTGCGTAAAAAGGAAGTGGCATGTGGCTGGAGAGAGAAGCCTCTTTTTTTTCGCTTTAAATTTCAAAGCGGAACGGGACCTAGGGACACCCTAAGCGCTAAAAAAAAGAGAGACTGGAATAAGGGAATTGTGGGCACAATCCGGCGGTGGGGAGGGGAGGGGAGATCTCTTGCCCAGGCAAACTGGAGGGCTCATCCTTTCCTTTGGGGGGGGCGTGCGCAGGAGAGTAGTCTACTTGGACTCCGGCAACAGCCCTCGCCGGAACGTGTGGTTAAAACCGATTCGATTCGCGGTAACAAGCGGTCATTTGCTCTCTCTTTAGCTCTCATTTCGAGGCAGGGCCATCGCCTCGGTTCCTTGCCCGAGGGTGGGCCGCGGTTTTCTTTTAAGCAACCAGGACATTTTTTATTTCTCCTTCCTTTGAGAAGAAGGGTGGTTGGGAGCTGCGCTTTTGGATGCGTTTCGGCTTGATTATTAATAATTACGAGCCTCTAATAAATGTCTCTCCGGTTACAGTTCACAAGTCTCGCATCTGACTTGACTGTATCCCCTTGTAGAACAAGGTAACTGGGATTCGCCCGCCTCCCATAAATAAGCGTGTCGAGGTAAGAAATAATTACCTCTGCTCGCTGCTTTTAATTAAAGTCTCCGAGGGAAAGTGCGGGATTATGGTAATGAGCAGACATACGCTCCCTCTTGTAGGCTCCCAGCGAAAGGTTAGCTGACATCAAATCAGCGACAGTGACAAGGCCCTCCAAATCCATTTGCTATGCCAGTCCGTCACCAGACGAGCGCCGGTCGCGGGGATGGGAAGGGCAGCCGCGGGCCTGGCCCGGTGCGGCCGCCGGAACTGGTGCTCGGAGCTCTCCAAAAAGGAAGAAAAGGAGGCAGGGAGCGGGCGACTGAGGCCCGGTGGGAAAGACGCGTCGGAGATGGGAAGGAAGGCGGAGGGAGGCCAGGAAGGGACGGGAAAAGCAGGCGGCCTTCCGGGATAGTTGCAAGCAGCTGCCCTTCCAAAATCAGGAGGGGGGGTGAGACCGCTTAGAAGGCCGCCTATGGCAGCGTCTCCAGGCGTTCCGCCGTCGACCTCATCCTATACACGCGGATTTCCGAATCAGCCACCAAACAAGGGAAGGGCTCGTTTGGATGCTTAGTGTGGACTTTCCTCTTTCTTGCAACAAGGGACCAGTGAGCATCCTCGTGTATGAATGTCTTTCTTTCTGTGATTGTCCAGAAAACACAGCGCCTGTCCTGGCGTTGTCTGTATTTCGTGCCATATCTCCGCAGAGCATTTCCAGGGCTTCCTGCGGACCCCCCGGTTTGTTTTTCCCCCTCTCTCCTCTCCTTTGTCACCCTCGCACCCAGTCCGTTCTTCCTCAGTTCCTTCTTCCCACGTGTCAAGTCATTCCTGTTTGGATCCGCCAAAAAGTAATGATTTGCGGCTCAAGGTCCTTTTTTTTCTTACGGAAAAATTGGCGCACGGTGATCGGTCGCCTGCGTGAGGAGGGGGCTGGTTGAGATGGTTTGAAACTTCTTGATCCAGCCAGATAAATGACGCTCTTTTATTCAGCCTCGTTGATTTGAAGGGGAAAGCATCGTTCGACCTTCAGTATGTTTATTCGGAGGAAGCAAACTCTGGTTTGATAGGGGCTTACCGCCGGCTAATTGTGCAACAAATTACAGAATCATGTATAGGTATAAATCTCTGCCCTTTGAATGGGGAAGTTCAGAGTGCTTAACTTGACGTGAATTGGAATCTACTACTACAGTATTGCTATTGCTTTTGCTGTTGCTGTTCCTTGTTGCCCCTTCAATTCCCTTTCTCAGGGAATGTTGCCTATACCCGTCTTTTGTCTCAGATCCAATGGCTGAGACGAACAGGTATCAGAGGCTGGAAACGTTACATTTTTTTGGAACGACGGCTCCTAGAATCCGGCAACCCTCGCAATAAAGCCAAGAGCTGTAATCCAAAAATCTAACGTTTCCAAACTCGGGCAAACCCAGTATACAACCTGATTCTTTCCCAGTGCGCTCTCTCTTTAAGCGACTGAGGACTTTCTTCCCGGTAGTTTATATATGATTCAGGTCTGTTTCTTCTTCTTATTCCTCCCCCCCCCCGCATTTTCCCCACAGTGATGGAGGACGCCGGGGTGCACCGGGTAATATGGGATGGAGACGCCAAAGCAGTCCAGCAGTGTCTGACGGACATTTTCACCAGTGTTTACACCACTTGCGACATCCCGGAAAACGCCATCTTCGGTCCCTGCGTGCTTAGCCATACCTCGCTCTACGACAGCATCGCTTTCATCGCCCTCAAATCCACAGACAAGAGAACCGTCCCTTATATATTCCGGGTAAGGACGGGGACGGGCAGAGAAAGGTCTCTCTTCTTGATTCTCCCTCCCGTTTCCCGAGACTTAAAGGTCAGAGGTCCATACCTCCAACCACTTTGGATTTCACGCAGTGGTAACGGATACACCAGATCCTGAACATGTTTCCAAGGAAAAGGGGGGAGGGGTGAACGAGATCCTAAGCATCTGCGTCCCTTTTTAATTCTTACTTCCTTTCAATCGGAAGCAAATTGGATCGCCTTGCACAAGAAGGAGCGGGCTTACTTCCAGCATCCGAGTTCTCTCGCTCTCTTCAACGGCTATTTTCACTGAACGAGTGCTTCAAATCTGGGCTGAAAGTGATTTAGGAGGACGAGGCGCGAAAAAAACGGGCGTTGCTTCCGTTGCATGCTTGATAACCGAATTACAGCTTGCCAGAGGGTTTAATCTGAAAGATGTTACATCCGCTAGCCTGGGATAAGGAAACTGCATGTTTTCCGAGTGTGTGTGTTGAAATTATATTTATAGCTTCTTTTTACCGAGCATCTGGGTTTGAATAAGAAATGGAGAAAGAGAAAAGATTAAGAAGGGTGAATTAATTTGGACTTGCTAGCGTGGGTTCCTCCGTCTCCTTCAATTGGGCCTTTCTGTGCAAACCTTCTTTTTTTAGCCTCTTGAGTATTTAGGAAACGGGAGGTGGAGACAGGAGGCGAGGTCCTATCCTGCTAGCTTTGGCTCCGAGCGCCACCTCCTAGTACGGAGCTCAAGAGCCCTATGGTTCATTAAAAACCGACGGGCTTTGGGGGTCCGTCCGTTGCACCTCAACATCTGTTGGAAAATGAGACGGGAGACCAATCCGATTCTACACCGAGGCTGATTCGAAAGGCGTCCCGGTTTAGGACCATCTCAAGCTCCGGCGACCTGAGGCTTCCTTAAGCGGTGGCTTCCCGTGGAAAGGAACGCGAGGCGCTTCTCTGCGAAGAGACGCAGAATGGGGTCCAAATGTACGCTACGTTGGCACCGGGATGTGGGAAGCAGGTCCGCTTTGTTGCGGGAAAAGAGGCAGCCCGGCCGAGGCTGGGTCCGTGTGCGTCCGCCGCCTTTCAGAATTCCGTGCGCCGGGCGAAATACAGCTTTCTTCCCTTCTCATCGCTCCAGCGGTGTTCCCAAGATTTAGGTTGATTAAACCTTGGGAAAAAAGAGACAGAAATGAAAACAGGCCTGGGAGATACAGACGAGGCGGCACCTTCACTTTGCTGCGTAAGATTTCTTACGACGATGAGCAACCCGCTTGGACGCTTGGGGTTCGGCTTTAAAATCAGCCACTACTGATTTATTGGACCCGCGTCTAGAGCCACAAGGAAACATTATGACAGCGCATCTTGCCTTAGGCTCCTTTTGTCTTTCACGCCCACCCCCTGAAACTGCTCCAGAATGTAGAACCGGTTTCAGAAAGGGGCCCCCCAAGCGCAAAAGACGAAACACCTTATTTTCCTGGCGAAAAACACAGACTTCCTTCGATCTTTCACATTCATCTTGTTAGCTTGGTTGATTCCCTCCACCCCCCGCCCCTCCACAACACTGAGATGCAACCTCCGGGGCCTCGCGTGTCCACAAAACGCCCCCTAATGAAGCATGGGCGTTTAATCCGGACTCGCCAGCCCCGCTCTCACCACCATCAACCGCTTAGGCGTTACCCAGCTCCAGTTGCTGCTGTTTTACTCGAAAGCAAGCCCGGCCAGGCTCAATCGCACTTACTTCCCGGTCAGAGCGCATACGTTTGGATCCTGAAGTTGAGCTCAAGCGATCTTTCTCCCGAGTTTCAGGCGCCAGGGGATCGGGACCTCCCCAAGCAGGGAGCGGAAATTCCGCTTTGCGGGAATAAGGCAAATCTGGCGTTTGGGCTTAAACTGGTAATCGCCACCGTCCCGTCACCGGCGCGTGCGTTTGGTCCCTGCGGACTGTCAGTATTTGGATTTGAAGAAGCCGAGTCGAGGGGGAGTCTCGGCTCCTTTTTAAAGAACCCCCCCGGTCAGCCCGTTTCTGATTTTATTTCTCTTTGTATTTATTCCAGGTGGACACCTCCGCCGCCAATGGTTCCTCTGAGGGCTTAATGTGGCTTCGGCTGGTCCAGTCGGCGAGGGACAAAGAGGAACAGAATCTGGAAGCCTACATCAAAAACGGACAATTGTTTTACCGCTCCCTCCGAAGGATTGCCAAAGACGAAGAGTTGCTGGTCTGGTATGGGAAAGAACTGACCGAGTTACTCCTGCTGAGCACCGCCAGGGCGCAAAGCAAAATGAACGGTAGGTATTTCGAGCGTTATTCCGGCGGGGTGGAGGGTGAGATGCGCGGCTGGAGGTGGCATTTCCGGCCAGGGGGACATGATGAGGTTCGGACAGCACTTCAATTTAAACAAAAATAATCATAATTAAACAGACCTTTCTTATGAGAAAGAGAAGCGCCAGCCGAGCTGCGAAACATTGCCATTTGCCAATTTTAGAAGAGACGGATTAAGGTTAATTGCTTTATTCCTTTACGATTAGGCATCCTTCAGTTTCTGTTTGGAGGACTTGGAACAGCGTCTAGTGTGGCTGAGAAGGCCAATTCGGGAGTGACCATCCCTTCCACACTGAAGACAAATCCAATCTGTCCCCTATCCAGCTCCCTGATCTTGCTGGTTTCGGGACTGCCTCTTTGCCTCGGCCTGCTGGACAAGGTTCTCTTCAAATTGGGAGAGGCCCTGATGCACCGCCTGCCTCCAGGCTGAACGCTCAGAGGGCAAAGTTTCCCATCTGTTGAGGTCCATTCCTAAGGCCTTCAGATCCCGCTCCTTAGCATCAGACTTTGAACCGTTTAGAAACATTAGATTAGTTGAGAAACAATCTGTTGGTGTGTTCCCGACTCTTGTTGCGCTGAAAGGGAGAAAGGGAATTTGAAGGACACCCCCTCCCTCTCTCCCCATTAAAAGCATTCCAGAACTTTGAGCGATAGAAGGCTTTAATTGCATTCATCAGCTGCAGCTGCAATTCTGTGTGGCACCGTGCCAAACAAAAGGAGGGAGGGAGGGAATTTCACGGGTGGCTACCGTGAAGCTGCCTTTCCCTTTCTTGGTCTCCATCCTGCCACACACCTCCTCACTTCATTGATAGGTTTCTTGTGCCAGGAACCTCTCTTAGCTTAAATATTCTCTAAAATAACATCGACACTAAAGGTGTTATATTAACAGGTGGGGCATGGATCCACATCCAGTAGGCACATCCTAGTAGCCTCGTCTGGGATTTTTCCAGGGTCACCCTACTTGACCTGATGAAGGGAATTTATCATCGTATTTTTAATGCAGGACAGTATATTCTTGTTCCATGAATACAATCATTTATTTAGGTCTTTTAAAACCTGGTCTGCAGTAAAGTCTGCATAAATATAAGCACATCTACCGATCCTTTCTTTTTAAACTGCCACTGCCACCCACAAGAACCATGTATACCTCAAAACTACCAGAAGCCTATTCCTGGATTAAAACAGAATAATGAGCCAAAACTTTCTCTGTTCCTGAACAGGGGGTAGAAATAGGAATTATTACTATAGTATTTCACAATTAGTGAAAGAAATGAATCTTTGACATTCCCTTCCCATCTTGATGTGCACATTTTTGGCTCAGCAAACACCCCTCTCTGGGTTGTGGTGAATGGCTGGCTTCGCTGTTGAGTAGAGCATACAGAGCTTCTATTAAACAACCCATGTAACAGGGTCTACAAAGGGTTCTTTATAATTGCCTGTCTCTCCCCCTCCTTAATTGCCAAACGGAAGATTCCCTGATTATGTATAAACACACTGATGATCTGGGCCTTGGGGGAAACTCAGTTTCATTCCCATGAATCATAAGACTATGACAACCATTGCATAGCGGGAGTCTACCTTACAGGGGTATTTTGAAACTAAAATGTAAAAGTTACACTGAAATTTCTTGGAACTTCGATGTAAGTTTTACATTCCGAGACACGATGGCAGGTGCATACTAGGCAATGAATGAGTTTTGTATGAGGACTTTGGTACATCAGGAGTAAGGGTCAACTCAACTCTGTCTAAGGAGGTCGACATAATATCTGAAATAGCAGATTCATACATAGTTTATTTGGGAGTTTACACAATGCATAAAAAGCTTCAGAAGATCATTGATTGACCCTGGTGACACAATAAACAGATGTTGGACTTCTGCGGAAAGCATAAGCTAAAACATGTATGCATATCACAAGTCTGGCTGTGGTTTCAGAACCACAGACGATGACCCACCCTCTGGGGGTTTCAGGCTGCAGTTTCACAGGGCTAATGAAGTGTTTGGGACTATTTATCTCCACTGCAAGTGGCAACCTGGAGACTGGTTTGAGTGAAACAGGTAAATAACCTACAGTCGGGTAATGCCTTTATTGCCATGAATTCTATATCCAAATATAGAATATATATATGCAGGCTTTCAAGTTCTCTTTCAAGTTCTCCAGAATCCTTCATCAGTCTATAAAAAGGGGGAGGAGGGGGAAAGGTTTAATTAAAATATCTTCCAAAGCGCCAAGACAGTGGCTAACGCGCTCTCGCTTTCGTGCGCTCGTTTCTCTTTCCTGCATCGCTCCAGGGGCGCCCCCTTACACCTGCCTGGAGTGCAGCCAGCGCTTCCAGTTCGAGTTTCCGTACGTGGCCCACCTTCGGTTCCGCTGCCCCAAGAGACTGCACGGCGGCGAGGGCGGCGGCAGCCCCGGCGACGACTCCAGCCGCAAGGCGAGCAGCCCCGCCAAGGAGCACGAGGTCCCCCTGGGGTCCGGAGCCGCCAAATACCCGAGCAAGCTCAACGGGGGCCAGGCCCAGATCCACGCCCACCCTCACCCGCCTCACCACCGGCCCCATTACCCCCACGGCGCTCAGGACACCAACGGCACCAGCAACGGGGCGCTGAGCAAGCCGTCCACGGACTTCCACAACCT